CTGCGTCGCTCTGGCGGCCTCTAAGTTGGACGGGCTGTGGGACTCGAGCAAGTGATGGGGGGAGTTGTGGGCAAGAGGATCGCCGCGGGGAGAACGGCTCCGAAGTGAGAGACCACTGTCCCCGGAGTCGTCCTGGTCAGGGTATACTGCGGCAGCAGCAGATGCCTCTGATTCCTCGTCCTCCTGCCTCGATTCACCCGAGCTGGTTTCCCCGGATGGTGCACTAAAATCGCTATCTGGCACAGCCCTGAAGACGACAACTTCATCTGGAGAGACTTCAACATAGTAGCCTTTGGTCTCTTTGCCGACAACCTCTATCTCGATTCCTGGAGGCAGCTCTTTGTCACGTGCTCTTAAGACTGTCGGTAGATGAAGATTGCCATCGGCTTGGCACCATCCAAAGGGCCGGACACCTAAGGGACGGAAGTCCAAGAAGACGCACACGGTCCGTCCAGGTTTATTCCGGCTATTGTCGCTTCTCGAGGATTTATCAACTAGAAGTGCTATGCCATGGCAGCGCTGGCCATGCATGCACAAGTCAGAGATGCCTGGCCCGTTGGCAAAAGCAAAGTCTGTGTCTTGAACGCGGCAGCCAACTGTGGTGGCTGCAGCAGCATGAACTTGTTCAACCTCTAGGGCTGAGACTGCAAGGAACCATCGCTTTTCACCGTATAGAAGGCAAACTCCTGCTACTCCTGGCTCTTCTCTGTCAGTGTGACTTTTCCACTGGTGAGGAGCGGCAAGCAAGGCATGTTGTGTCGGCCCTGGTTGGTAGCTTTGGCGCTCATCGCTGACTGTCAAAACCGTCCCATGAACTAACACAAGGTCCTCTTCTATGTCATGGGGAATGCTGGAAAGTCCTACATAGAGATTGACGTTGAAGCTGCCAACTGGAAGCATCGGCATGGCGAAGGAAACCCATTCGGAAAAGCGCAAAGCAGAAGGAAGCACTGTCGCAAATACAGGGCCACCTGCTGGCTTGAGGTTTATGACAACTGTTGCGTGGTCCTGGCCATCAAGCGCGCTTGTGTAAGCAAGGTAGGTCAGGATGCCAGGATAGGGAGAGGGGTTAACAACGACCGCACCGTCGAGCAGATCGAAGGGAAGCCGGGCTGCAGTCTGCTTGATACATCCTAGCAGATCCTTAACCCCAACTTTATCAGGCACTTCAAACGTGACAAAACTTGTCTGATAGTGCGGCGCCATGATCGCAGCACCTATACACGGCACCTGAATTGCACCTTGTACACCTTGGCTGGGCTGTGCAGGGCAGGTGGGTGGCTGTGTGGTGGTTGGTCCTTTTGTGTCATTTGCGCAAGCTGCCTCTGCTTCAAGCAGGGCCTCTCTCTGAACTTCAGCGACGAGGTCACGTATGTGACCATGAGGACTACCATCATGTTCCCTATTGTCTGCCGGTCCAGGGAGTCCAGATACCGTTAATCCCACATGGGGATTGTCGGGCATAGTGGAAGGCACAAGATTAGCAGCTCTTTCGACCTGTTGAAGCGCGTCTGCATAACCCTCTGGCATAGCCCAGACTTGAAACGGTAGGGCATAAAGGCCAAGCAGCAGGCGGAGCCCTTGGCCGAAGCACAGGCCAGGTCTCCTCTGGAATGTATGGCGAAATTTCTGTCTCTGACTCCCATCGTGTTTATCGCCAATTGCTCGAGTCGGAGAGGCAATGCAGCCGAGCGGTAACACCAAACCAACGGGAACAGAGGCCGTCGGTATGCTGAGGAGTCTGGTAAGGGGCGATCGACCAGGAAGAGCCGAGAGAACAACACGCCAAAGGGAAACCGTAACAACGGCTCCAAATGCAACTGAGACCCCTCGAGCAATTTGAATGAGACCCCATAAAAAGTCGAAATCGTCACCTATGGCGGAGGACCCTGAGCCACCGATTCCTCTCTTGGGCGCCATAGCATCAGATACATAGCTGGGGGTCCAGCCCCATGGCACTGTAGCCTTGAAAATCAAGCGGCTACCATTATGCTCTTCTGTGAGCACACCTTTTGAACAGAAAAAGGGTGATGTTGAGGCGACCGACCCAGAGCGACCGATTCGGTTCTTTCGCGCTCTCACACAATCAACCCTATTTACAAAACTGCATCCCCTGCTTGCAAAATCCGGGAAAGTACCAAAATGTACACATCCGGGTGACATGTAGGTATCGGGACCCTCAGGAGCCGAGATAGGGCGCCTTACAGGAAAAAGGACAAGGAGGCAACAAAACTGAGACCGCAAGATGAGAGCGACCTGCACAGAACTGCAATGTCCATAAAGGATGTGGGATGGAGGACCAACATGGGAAGATCCCACGCCACGTTGGAAGACGGCAGATAAGGACTTGCATTCAGGCGAGGGAAGCCTATGGAAATCACAATCCCAGTGACTCCATACGCTTCGCGATGATGAGAACTGACAAGAACCGTCAGAAAAGTGACAAGTCCAGTCACCTTCTGGCAATTCCCCAGCGGCGACAAAGGGAAATGGTAACAAGGATACGGACACTCCTGCGGGGTTATGTACACATAGAAAAGGGAGCTGAAATGGCTGTACATTATGACCCGCGCTGTACAGCCCAATTGCACCACAAGTCTCAGTTTCATCGGCAAACTTCCCAGAAGGTCGACCGAGGGAAAGAAGAACAGCAGGAGACCCGACCCCAGGAGTCTCAACTGCGTTCAGTCCCCCCAGTACCTGCAGGGAAGGTTGCCAAGTCAACCGATAGCTCAGCACTGCTGTTGCATAGCTCAGGTGGGCTCGCCATCGTGTCCTCCCTTGTTTGTCACAACAGGTTCTACCTGTTCCTTCTGGAGGTCGTCGTCGTCGATGAAGGTGGGGACGGGAACCTTGGCAGGATTGATCTGCTGCAACTGCCCCACCTTTTCCGTTTGTGTTCCACCAAATGGCTCCATGGCTCTCTTCACCGCCAAGCGCTGTGCGAGCTCGTCGGCCGCATAGACGTTGGAGGTTTCTACATGGCCCCCCAGGCCCTCGTAGGGGTTTGCTCGTGCGCTCGGAGATATTGGCTTCATCTTGGCATACATGCTGCCAGGCGAGGCTTGATATGGACCTTTGGAGTCCGAACTTCCTTGTCCGGAGTAGTCCGCCTCGGCTGCCGCCACTGTAGGCGGCGGTACTCGTACAGACATCTGCGGCATGTGTGTCCATTCGCCGGGTGGGTCCGTCTTCATCTCCACATCCTGTGCCCGACTCAGACCCGGAGGGCCCGGCCTCAGCAAAGCACCTCCGAAGGTCGGCGTTCCGACTCCTTGTCCAGCCTGACGCTGTGCATGTACTTGGGCCGAGCTGGCCGTGAGCGCCCTGTGCAGAATCTCCTGGGCGTCGTCGTGCTCTTCTTTTCGCCATGCCTCGAAGATGCGGTCCACCTTGGTGTTCTCCTCCTTGACAATGGTGGGTGCACCATTGGCATGCACGTCCAAGAGAGCTCTCCTCGACACTTCCTGTTCGATCAAGGCTTTCTCCAAGTCCTGCTCCAGCCTCTCCATGTCCTTCAAGTACCTGGCATGCTCCCTGGCATATGCCGTTTTCATCTCTTCGTGGTACTTGTCCCAAAGCGCAGATCGCTCCTTCTTGTTGCGGGCCACTGTGGTTACTCTTTGCTCTGACTTGCGGGTGTGGTTCAAAGCAGACTGAATAAGATTGACCACTGAGGGAGGGCCATCTGTGCTCACCGGCTCCGAAGTCAGTCCCCAGTCTTGCTGAGTCCTCCGATCGTAGGCCTGGTAGGACTGATGCGCTTCTGGACTCCGCGGCCAGGCTCCACGCCAGTATTTGTATCCATACTGTTGTCCACCTTGACTGGAGTACGAATTTCCTCGCCATCCTTGCTTTCCCATGGGCCGATTCTGAAATTGACCGCCACGTCCCGATCCGTGATGGGTGAAGAGGCGTCTCTTCTGCAGAGAAGACAGTACGCGGCCCGCTCTGTGGGAGCGTCGCGCCCTGCATCGAAACTGCCTCTCTTTTCTGTGCCAGGAAGGCGAACTTGGCTTAATGGCTCGGTGGATTTGCTACGGCAGCTTTCTGCCTGGGGCAACAGTGTTCCGGCTATCCGGCGATCTGAGCCCTTACATACATACATACATACATACATACATACATACATACATACATACATACGTACAGACATACAGACATACAGACATACAGACATACAGACATACAGACATACAGACATACATACATACATACACACAGCCACACAGACAGACAGACAGCCAGCCAGCCAGCCAGCCAGCCAGCCAGCCAGGCAGCAGCCAGGCAGCAGCCAGGCAGGCAGGCAGCCAGGCAGCCAGGCAGGCAGACAGGCAGGCAGGCATGCATGCATACATTCAAAAAAAAAATATATATATATATATATACATGTGCAAACACACACAGAGAACTCATACACAGAGTTGATATGCAGATTCCCATTTTTCCCTTCTGTATCCAGTCGTATATGTAGTTGTAGTTGGGGTCTCTAAACAATATTCTTGTCATGATTACTCTGGCTTGCTGTTGTGGAGAAATGGGAGCCTCAAAAACCAGCGGGGGGTCAGTTTCTCATGGTTACTAGCATGGACATCCTACCATTACCTTCCTCATTATCAATATTACCATAGCTATCACCACTGGCACTACCATCATGACTGCCATGACTAGCACTACTTTCATTAATGACGACCACTACTATACCTGTTGACCTATTACCATTATTGTCAACAACTTCATCACCAGTATTGCATGGAGTATCTGTCATCATTATCATGCATTGCCGTTCCCATTAACTCCTGCCATCACCGATCCTGCGTCATGTTTGTTGTTGCTCTTGCTGCTTCTATTGCACTTACAAGTGTTGCCAAACTTATTCTTGGCACTCAACCTAAAACCTGCGCCTGGTAATGTAGGGGCCGGAATAATTAGAATGGGGCTTTGGGCTCCTATAGCATAGTCATACTAGCGGCAATAAGGAGCCCTAATATATTACTCGCCTGCAGGGCGGACCCATGGCTGAAAGCCCGGCTGCGGGTACATGGGCGCCGGGCCTGAGGAAGGAGAAAGAAGGGTCGTAGGGTTTAGGGTTTAGGGTCTAGGTTTTAGGGTTTAAGGTTTTGGAAATGAAGTAAGACTTTAGAAGCTTCGGGTTTGAGGGGTTTTGGTGTTTAGAGGTTTAGGAGTTTTAAGGTTCAAGTTCAGGGCGTAGAGATTGGGCTTGGGAATAGGGTTTTGGGCTCACGGTTACAGTCACAGGGCTCCGGCGTTGTGTTTAGATTTACAGGATCTCGGTGTTTGGGTCAGGGAATATCAAGACCATGAGTTGCAGTGTGTCGAAACCCCTTCTTCCTCAACCTCATCGTCAAGAACGAAACATGTGTAAAAGCGAGACTGGATGCTTGGATGCTAGCATTCATCAACGAAAATGACAACAACTCATCATTGTCAGTTGATCTTAGTCTAAGAAAAAGAAGCCCCTGTGCCCCAAACGTTGAATTCCTAATGCTACGCTCGCTTTCGTGATTTGTCATCGCGGTTTAGTTCAACGCGGCTTGTGTCAAACTGGATTCGATGGGTTTCAATTGTATTTTTTATTTCGGATTGAAGGGTTTGGTGCATTACGGCAATGAACTCCTGATATTGACGTACAGCAACGCAAGCGCAGTTTCCCATGTTTCTCCTGTCGCAACGCTTCTACTACCGCGAAGCCAAGACTGTATGTGCTCTCTTCTGCATGCTTGCCTTGGGGGATGCCACTTCCGGTTGCGCAAACACAGACAGTGTCGGAGACTGGCGCAGGAAGCGAGCAGCACATCCGCCTTATGGCGCCGACGGTCCGCGTGACTCGTCCTCGCTGGCTGCGACTGTTACGTTGCCCACGTGTTGCCGAGCACCAGATTTTCAAAAAGTCAAACCATGCTGCCTTCTTGGCAATAGCCGCCCAAAAGTTTGCTTCAACGTACCCCCACATGACAGCTGGATCTCTGTGACCTCAAACACAGCAGACGCACACGGCTTTCCAAAAAGTAAGTCTCTCGTCGAGGTTTTGGCCCCTGCGACGACATATCCAGTCGTCTTTGGGCACATTGGCCTCCGTTTCCGGGCCTCAACAACACGGCAGCGCTGACAGCAACACACTGACGAGTTGGGACAGGTGTGTGATCCTGCACCGTCGGAAGGTGTGCCCTGGACCGGCGGAGGAGGCGGAGCTGATGACCAAGGTCCAAAGCCGAGCCGCCCTGTGATTCCTACAGCCTCCAAGTTGGAGCCTTTGAGCAGGCCTCCTGACAGCAGGCTCCAGGAACGCGGTAGGGATGTTCAACTGGGTTTCCGTGTCTGGCTTCAGCACTGGTATCCGAATGTTTGCTCGGCCGTGATTCTCGGGACATCAACCAAATCGCCGAGCCGGCTTTTTTCGATTTTCCTCGGCCAAAACTTAAGCGGCACACGCACAGCTTCGAGTACAAACATAACATGCAAGAGACATGCGCGTGGAGCAGGGGCCCAGCTTGACGTAATCTTGTTCTTCGGTTTCTAAAACACGAGCGACCTTCGCCTCAACTAGCAAGGAAGTCATGTTGCCACGGCATTTTGCCTTGGTCCTCAAGTGTCACGAAACGACAGCACCAGCATGCACTAACTAGTCTGGATTTTTAGCCACGGCGCTGGATTTTGACCATGGATAAGATGCCCTTGTCCTGCCCCGGCCAAGAGGCAATGCGACGATAAGTCACTGCGCCCGAGAACCAGGCATTTGCCCTCAGGCTGACCCACTTTGAACGCGCTGTTGCCAAGACTGGCGGCCGTAAGAACTTCTACGATCCTCGCGGCTTCAGCGGCCTCTCCAGCGGCAGGCTCTTCAACTTATTGTTCTTCGCGTGGGTCCAAAGGTGTTCCTACGAATTTTCCCCGCGAAGGTATTGGCTAACTTTCGTCGTCCTGCGAGCAGATGTGCCGCAGTTCATCCGTTCAGACACGACCCTGCTGTTTCTACAATCCTCGCGGCTGCACATCTTCGAGCGCTGTCACAACCGGTCACACAGGCTGCACTCGCTGCACTCATGTCTCCATCCTGGCGCAGGAGACGTAGGCCTACAGGAACTCCTATAATACCTCGCGTCGTAAGACCCTTAGACAAGCCCAAAAACACCCTGTAAACTGGTGCGTTTCCCCTTTTGGGCGGCCCCGTTCGGGCCGAGGAGCAGCCTCCCCACATAGGTGGCCAGCCGAAGGCCCCGCCGAGGTTCGCCATGTTCGGCACATTCGCCCTGAAGGTTGAGGGTTTGGGGTTAGTGCGGTTTGAGGTTCAGGATGTAGCGTTCAGGGGTAAGAGAGAGAGAGACAGACAGACAGAGAGAGAGAGAGACAGAGAGAGAGAGAAGACAGAGAGAGCCACTGCTGCCAATGACGCAGCTGCAATATTAACAGTTTCCACCTTCTCGTATGGCCATTGTGGCGAAAATCCCGAACAGAACCCCTCTTCGGCAGCAGGTTTATTCATGAAGCTTGCGCAGTCTGCACCTGAACCCTAAGCCACAAGCCGTCTGTAGTCCTATAAAGTGTTGACTTCCACTGTCGAGTGGGTGCACCTTGGTGCTGAATAGGACCAGCCGCCACCGCCAGGCGGCTGCCAAGGCGGTGAAGGCACTCCGCCCTGAGGACCCAAAGGTGTTGATGTAGGATTCGGGGCTTGAGGTTTTATGGCGAAGGGCATTAAGGCTTTAAAGTTTCGGTTTTATGGCGAAGAGCTTTAAGGCTTTAAAGTTTCGGGTTTATGGCTAAGGGCTTCAAGGCTTTAAAGTTTCGGTTTTGTGGCTAAGGGGGCTCTAAAGTTTCGGTTTTTATGAAGGTTTTCTGCGTACAGGTCACAGACAGGGAGTCGAAGTCTGAGATCTCAGCGGAGTTACGTCCGAAACGAGTCAGAGATGTCAAGACCGCTTAAGGAATACGCTGTAGATCAGAAAACAGGGTTCCTTTATGAGCTCAAGGTGTATATTCCTGCATTCAAGGATTGTGGAGTCTCTAAAAAGTCAATGCTCCCAGAGACTAAGGGAAGTATAGGGGCTTGAATAATTAGAACGTGGTTCGTCTGAGGTTTCTATGAGGCTTCCTGTGCTGGCTCCATTCACGGTTCTATATTGGTTACGAAAAGGGTTCTCATAATTCCTAAGGGCATGGTGTAAGGGGCCCGAAACGAGTGGTATTGTCGTCAGCTTCGTCAGCCGAACAGGGACTTTTGACCCGCAGCAGCCTGAGCAATCTGGCATGAAGAGCCCTCTGGAGCGATGTAAGCAAACATCGGCCTCGAAGGCAGCCTTCGTCAAGTCTTCAGATGCAAAGCCCTGCTTGCCATAAACCCCCAGCTGAAGGGAACGCAAGGACGGCAGGTTGCCAACCAAACTGCAAAGGCCAATCTTGGCAGAGCTGACTACAGCTGCTGGCACGTCTTGGTCCCAACCGAAAGTGCTCAGAGTGGATCTTTCCAGAGTGGATAGAAACTGGTGCACCTGCGCAGCCGTCAGCTCTCGTTCACCTAAGCTCTGGATGTATAGCCCAGATGCTCCACTCGCACGAACTTCGTCGGCCAATGCGCAGAGCTGCTCGCCCGAGAAGTTAGCTGACAGTGCAATCATACAGCAGCTGGATGGCCATCTGATCTGAGACAGGACTTGAGGCAATGTGTCGTCAAACAGGTCATCCTCAAGAATGCGCACGTGCGTAAGCGAGAACACGTCCATGCACCGCTGCAAGGAAGACTTGCAATCCACTTCGTCACATGCCACCTCGAAACTTACCGAGGCCAAACGCCGCAGAGTTCCAGAACAGTCAGCAAGTCTTTCGAAGAGCAGTGATGCCGAACACTCGGATGTGCTGTTCACCGACAAGCCCATGCGAAGAAGGTTGTTGAAAGCTGGCAAAGCCTTCACGACTAGCTCTGGCCACGTGTAGCAGTAGCAGTCGAGACTCTCGAGACAACGGCAGTGGCGCTGAAGGTTTTGCAAAACAGTCTTCCAAAGGCAAGTCCTATCACCGTACCTACGAAAAGTGCCGATGTTCGCCACACGAAGCTTGGTAAAGGAACCCAGAAGCCAGCCCATGCACAGAGCGAAGTGATCCAGGTCGCGTGGACTGTGGCTAATCTTGTAATCGAAAAATGAAACCAGAGTCACCTCTGTCTTATCAATGGCAGGCAAGCACTTGACCATTTGATCAGCTGCTTCCTCGCCACAGTTGACGATGACATGAGGCACAATAAGGAGACCATTCGGAGAAACGCAGAATCTCCGCACCGTAACATTCAACATACTTGCCGCTGCGACTGCAAATGGATCCAGCATTGGTGCCAGTTGCTTCCACACAAACTTCTTCTCCAATGCCATAGCCACTAGTGCGAGACCGCACCGGTAAGGAGCCCTACACACTGAATCCTGCAACTTCCCAGTCCTTAAGCTCAACGGCCCTACCCGACTGAAGGTGTGGGCTGACTGTTGGGCCTTCTCGGGAACAGATGCTCCAGGGAGCTGCTTGACTAGCTTAAACAACAGTTAGAGCTGGCAAGATTTGACTTGGCACGAAGTTGTACGTGTCCAGGTAAGAGGGCTCCAGCTGGTGCACCGATGACAATGACGAGGAGCACATGTCGACACAGCTCACGACAACTGCGACGATGACCACGACGACAAGGACGACGCCGACGACGACGACCACGGCTAATGACAAGAAGAATCACAAGCAGAATTGCTGACGGAATGGTCACAAAGCAAAGGAACCGGGAAAACACGAGCCCGGACTCCTTGTTCGTCGAGTCTGGAGTTTGCTCCGGCTGCTTCTCCTCCTCTGTTCCAGCAGGCAATGGCTGCAGAGCTGCGGAGCTTCGGGCGGAGGGGCTTACGATCTACGGTTCATGGGCTCGGCCTTATCATTCCCGCTTGCATATCTTAGGGTTTGGGTCTGGGTCTTCGCGACTTGGGTCAAAGGCCGATCCTCCACGGTCTTCTGCTGTGCAGTCGTCTCTTCTTCCTTCTTCTTGGCCTCCTGATGGGCAGGGAGCCACAAGCTTCAAAGTTTCGTCGGCTGCAGGTGCTGTGGTGTCTGCAGGCCTCTGAAGCTACCCAGGAAGTGACAGGCAGAAAGAAAGTGGGCTGGGGGCGCAGAGCTGAAGAACTAGCAGGCTACAGTCTTTGACAGACATGAGAGAAAAGCTCGGTAAGAGGGCCGAGCTCACATGAACGAATCGATGCAAGCTCAGGGCTTCGCAGCACGAACTGCTGACAGACTGCTCCAAAACTGAACCCCTAAGCCAAAGAGAGAGAGGGAGAGAGAGAGAGACAGCCCTAACTTGGGACTTATAGCCCCACTGAGATCTACCCTAAACCCTCAACTCTTCAAGGAACCCTGCTCGTGCCTGCCCTATACCGTAAACCCTTCAAGGAACCCTACTTATAACCCCACTTATACTGTAACTACCCATGAACCTCCAAGTACATCGGACCGTAGACCCGAAACAGAGCCAGAATCCCAACCAACAAGTGCAAAAAGGTGCAGGAGGGTGTAGGGGCCTCAATACAGTAAGTCGAATAAGGCTTAGGTTTGTTCGACTATGATTATAGTAGCCCCACACCGGGCTTGGGGGGCTTGGGGTCCAGGACGAGTCTGGAACCATAAACCCTAAATCCAAAACCCTCAACCGAAACCCCCTCCAAAAAACTCCAAAGCTCTGCTCCTCCTTCTCCTTCCGCGCCTCGGGAGGTCGAATGGGAAGATGTGCGGAGTCCTCTCTCGGCGCGCTGCGCAGAAAACAAGGGCCTGGAAAATTAGACGAGGGGTTCCTGTAAGGGTTCTAGAGGGATTACTACGAAGGTGTGGCGCAGGGGCCTTAAACAAAACTAGGATAGGATTTGGAGTATGTTTTTAAAATTAAAAAACAGTTTGGGGTATAGTATGTTAAAACTACAACAGGGACGAGAAGGGGATAATATTACGAATTGATTAGGCTCTTGCAAGATGGTGCTAGCCGTCATCAGAGTCACGATGGCAAGTCGTACAAAGCATCCAGCAGACATGTGTCTGTCTATATGTTGCATTCAAGATTTGGAAATGCAATAGCCGCGCATGCGGCCGTGTGAGGCTCAGTGGATGGTACAATATGTTAGATTGTGATCCACGTCCTGTCGCGTCACGATCCTGTTGGATCTGGAGTTTTACGGCTTTTTTGTTTTGGGGACGCTTGAGTGCAATAACTTGTGTCGTGTAGTAATGTTGATTCTACAAGACTGTTGTACGGAGACCAATCAAAACGAGAACAAGGTCAAACGCAAGAACAACATCCGGAATGCAATGAAGAACGGAGAAGAGTGGCCCCCTAAACCCCAAACCCCAAACCCTAAACCCTAAACCCTAAAGGCAGGGAGTCCTTCACCAGGGACAGAAGATCGCTCTTCTCCTCGGCTTCGATGTCTTTCCGGAACTTGCCCGGAGCACGACCAACGAAGACGGACGAGAAGCTTAAGGCTTAAGGAGAGACTGACTGATACTGATGCCATAATGGTGATGATGATGATGATGAGGAGGATGATGATGATGATGATGATGCTTATGATGCTGGTGATCATGATGATAAAGATGATGATGATGATGATGATGGTGGTAATGGAGGTGGTGACGGTGGTGGTGCTTCTGGCGCCGCTGCGGGTGCGGATGCTGGTGATGGTCATGGCCATGATGACCACAGCCACCGCACTCGGGAATTGGATCTCTGACCCTCGCGGAGTTGTTCTATTCTAGGGTCCTTATCATTAGAATAGGGTTTTGGAGAATACACTGCTCTAAATCAACAAGGACTATGCCGGAATGATATTAGTTGATCTTGATGAGGCCATATAATGAAATCTGACTACAGCACTGCTGCTCTTTTGAGAAAGCCCCTTAATGACCAGATCCACAGCAAAGCTTACAGTTCATGGTTCTTTGGTTGTTGATGGCCTTTTCGTCGCCTGTCATGGTTTAGGCCTTAGGGTTGGGAGTTTCTGTTTTAGGGCTTGAAAGCTAAATCCACTTGCCCTAAACCCCAAACTCGAACACTTCCCCCGTAGACTAAGGCCCAATCCCAAACCCCTACACCCTTGCCTCTAACCCTTCACCCCACAGTCATCCGCCCAGCCGCTGTGACCCAAGCAGGGATGCGCACCGCGCGGACTTGCAGAAAAGCCTTGAGCTCCTGGAGTCCGAAGACGTTGCAGTGAGTTTGAATAGACGTGGAGGTCGTGATAAGGTGTAATAGGTTTAGGGTTTAGGGTNNGTTTAGGAATTAGGGTTTAGGGCTGTAATAACAACCAATAACAGTGTAACACTAGCAACAAGAATAACAGTGCAAGGCTAGGGAGAAGCGGAACGGCAGCAGCAGCCAGAGCGGCAGCATGAGTAGTAGTAGTAGTAGTAGTAGTAGTAGCAGTAGTAGTAGTAGTAGGAGTAGAAGTAGTAGTAGTACTAGTACTAGTAGTCGTAGTAGTAGTAGTAGTAGTAGTAGCAGAAGAAGTAGTCGTA